AAGCATTTAGCACTTTGTAATGTTGCCGTTACGTTTCACAACACTTAAAGATGTTTAGGGCCTGAAGACACCAAGTGATGAAATGTTTCAGCTGTCGTTTTGTCCCATTCTTCCTGCAAACAAGTCTTCAGGTAGGCAACAGTACAGTCCTCGTTGCTGCATTGTGTGATTCAAAATGCGCCACACATTCTCTATTAGAACCAGGTCGGGACTGCGGGCAGGTCAGTCCAGTACCAGTATCCTCTTCCTCCGCAGCAGTACGCTGTAATGTGTGCAGAATGGGGTTTTGTCTTGAAGGCAGCATATTGAGCTCCAGAATCTCTGTAGTTCAGCATTAACGGTGCATCACAGAAGTGCAGGTTACCTTTGCCAAGGGCACTGACACAACCCCATACCATGACAGACCCTGGCTTTTGGACTTGTTGCTGGTAACGTTGATCCTTTTCTTCTTTGGTCCGGAGCACACGGCGTCCATTTCCCCTTAAAAACACCTGAAATACTGATTAATCTGACCCCAGGAGACGTCTCCACCATGTGATGGTCCATCCCAGACACCTCTGAACCCAAAGAAGTCGATAGTGCTTCCGGACACTGTTAACATAGGGCTTCCTTTTGGCACAGTACAGATTTGACTGGCATTTGTGGATGCAACTCTGTATTGTGGTACTTGACAAAGCTTTGCTGCAGTATTCCTGAGCCCGTGTGGTGATCTGGCTCAGGAATGTGCTGCCACCCTCAACCCTAAAGGGAAAGCAAAAGTGACCAGTTCATGCCGCCCTCAACCCTAAAGTGAAAGTGACCTAGAATAGTGACTCTATTCTGCCGCCCAGGTCGCCTCTATGGACGCGCCGGCCCTGCCCCTGACTCCTAGATATCCCCACCATTCCACTCCACCTCACCCACTCCCCCAGCTCTCCTGGTTTTTCAGAGACAATATGTTGGCAGGTATGTTTGGGACACACTCATTCCATTTTCCAATACTATTTAGGAAGGAGAGTATGCAAATTGGGAAAAACAATGCAAAAGTAGCGCATCGGAGAGGAGATAATCATTCTGTGTGAACAGCCCCTTACTCCAGCTGCGTCATTCATTCATTTTCCTTCAGCTCAGGCCCTTATTCATTAGGGGTCGCCACAGTGAAATGAACCACCAACTATTCCAGCATATGTTTTAGACAGCGGATGCCCTTCCAGCTGAAACCCAGTACTGGGAAACATCCATACACACTCATTTACACACTCATTTACACACTCATACACTACGGCCAATTTAGTTCATCAATTCCCCTATAGCACATGTGTTTGGACTGTGGGGGAAACCGGAGCACCTGGAGAAACCCACGCCAACACGGGTAAAACATGCAAACTCCACACAGAAATGCCAACTGACCCAGTCGGGACTCGAACCAGCGACCTTCTTGCTGTCAGGCCACAATGCTAACCACTGAGCCAGCGTGCCGCCTTCCAATCTGCATTATACTACAGATTCACTACGGTATCTGTTGAGTGTCATGCAGAGGAATGTTTTGTTGAACAGACGCTAAAGAGCTTTGAGTAAATGATCAAATCCAACACGAGACCATAGTTCATCCAGGTGAACACTCCACTCACAGCACACACACTTATTATCATGTGTTTACATTCAGTGTGTGTGTGTGTGTGTGTGTGTGTGTGTGTCGTGTCAGCAGAAATGCAAATCAGTCCTACACAACGCTGAGTTTAAACTTAGACTCTCTTCTGATTCTCTCTGTAAACAAGTTTTCTCTCAATATATACTGCTACACACACACACACACACACACACACACACACACGCACACACACACACACATACCAGATGACCCAGTTTGCAAACATTTACTCATGTACTGGATTTATTGAGCTCTGATTGTGAAGCTTTATAAGAAAAGAGTCCTGCGTGCACACACACACACACACACACACATACTCGAGCATGCACACACACAGACAGGAGATGTTTTGTCTTGAAACATAATCACGGATGTGTTTGGATGCATCTTATCCACTGCCTCCGGGTTTCAGATGAATCGAGGGCTGCTTTAATGAGACCAGCAAACACACACACACACACACACACACGTGCACAAACACACACACACACATATGCACACACATAGAGAAAAAAACACAAACAAACAAGGAAAAACTCACATACAGACGCATAAACACACAGAGACAAACACACACACACACACAAACAGATGCACACAGACACAAACACACACGCATATAAATGCACATCGACAGACACAGAAACACACATGCACACACACAAACATACGCACAAGCACACAGTCACACACACTTACTGCACACAAACAGTACACACACAAACACACATGCAGAAACGCACACACATACACACTATCAAAAACACAGAGAAAAACAAACAAGCACAAACATGCATACACACACACACACACACACACACACACACACACAAACATAAACACATACACAAACATAAACACATGCACACACAGACACAAACATACAAACATGCATATACACGCACATGCAAATGCACATACACACTCACGCAAACACACACAAACATGCACAAACACATACAAATGTACACAGACACAAACACATAAAACACACAGACATACAGACACATGGATACAGACACACACATACACAAATGCCCACACATGCACAAACACACATACAAAAACACACATACACAAATGCATACACAAACTCACACAGACACAAACATATTCACATAAACAAATACACACACACACAAACACATACACAAACGCACACACACAAACACACACTGACGCGTTTGGTGTGTGGGATCATTTCTGAACTTCCATGTGGTGTATAATCACACACACTCGCGTCTGCAGCTCCTCACACTGCTGCTGTTCCTCCTGCAGAATCAAGGTGTCTCAAAGGTCAACATCTGAGCTGTCCTGACGTTTAGTGTGTGTGTTGTCGAACACAAAACACACACACGCACACAATCACTCAACAGTCACCTCCTAATTGACATTTCACACAACGTAGGAAACATTAGATCAGTTTCTGTTTGCTATTTCAGAAACAAATGAAATGTAAATAAAATAATAATAATAATAATAATAATAATATTGACAATAATAATAATAATAGTATTAATATTATTAATAATAATAATAATAATAATATTAACAACAACAATAATAATAATAATAATAATAATAATAATAATAATAATAACAATAATAATAATAATATTAATAAGAATAATAATAACAATAATATTAACACTAATAATAATA